AGCTGAGTTGATCCAGCCTCGGCCATTGACGACCATTTTCCTTTGCGATTTTACTACAACCTCGTTCACTGCTAGTCTTTTCCTCTCCTTTCAGACGTGTGTGGAGCTCGTCCTCTCCCTTCAAAATGAGGTTCGTGGCAGCTGCCCTGCTGTCGCTCCTCGGCGCCGCGGCGGCCAGCTCCGTCGAGCTCCCGTCGACCTTTGAGCCCCCACAGGTGTTCAAGAACGCCAACCTCGTCCATGTCGTGTCGCTCGAGAAGAATTACGTCAAGGAGTCGGTCAATGTCCTGATTGAGAATATCGCCTCCGCGCCCCAAGAGGAATACTTCATCCCCTTTACCGCCGACCAGATGTCCCGCATAGGAGGCATTGAGGTCAAGGACAGGAAAAACCCCGAAGCTGGCCCTTTTACCGTCGAAGCAGTCGAGTTCGACCCCAAGAGGTGATTAGCGTCCCTTTGTCCGGCTTGCGGGGAGATGGGCCATGGCATCCGTGCTGCTCGCTGACCACGGCCTCCGCGCTTGCCGCAACCCAGCGACCAGCAGTATTACCGAATCCGCCTCCCCGCGCCTCTCCCCGCCGGCGGCCAGCAGACGCTCGGCATCAGTTACTACTTCGTCAAGGCCTACACGCCGCTCCCCGCATTTGTGACCCAGGATGCGCCGCAGTTCCTGTCGTACTCGTTCTCGGCCTACTGCCCCTCGGTTTACGTCACTTCCAAGCAGAAGACCGAAGTCAAGGTTGCGTCAACCAACGTGCCGGACTACACCAAGCTGCCCAGCGTTGATGGCGACAAGCCAAACCCGTCCAAGCAGGGCACCAAGCTTGTGTACGGACCTTTTGGCGAGAAGCCCGCCGGCGCGTCGGAGCCGGTCGATGTGCGGTTCGAGTTCGTCAAGCCCGTTACCCACGTGTCCCTGCTCCAGCGCGACGTCGAGGTTAGCCACTGGGGCGGCAACGTCGCCTTCGAGGAGCGGTACGACCTGGAGCACCGCGGCGCCAACCTGTCGACGCTCTTCAACCGCGTCAAGTGGGCGCAACAGAGCTACCACAACTCGCCGACGCACGCGCTCAAGGAGATGAGGTTCCCACTGCGCGCAGGCAGCGCCGACGCCTACTACTACGACGTCATCGGCAACGTGTCGACCTCGCGCTTCCGCAGCGGCAAGCGCGAGGCCCTGCTCGAGATTAAGCCCCGCTACCCGCTCTTTGGCGGCTGGCAGTTCCCTTTTACCATCGGCTGGAACTCCGACGCCAAGAACTTCTTGCACCGAACCGGAACCGGCTACGTTCTGAACGTGCCCTTCCTGGAGGGCCCCAAGCAGCCCGAGGGTCTTGAGTACGCCAAGATCAAGCTGCGGGTCCTGCTCCCTGAGGGCGCCCAGTAAGTGTCTGCCGTTGCCATTTTGTGCTTGTACTGGAGCGCCTGGCGCCTTATCTCGGCTGGTCCGCTAATCTTACGATGCACACAGGAACGTCAAGTTTCACACGTCCATCCCGAGCTCTTCCATCATCTCGACCGAGATCGGCACCCACAAGTCGTTCCTGGACACGATTGGACGCACGTCGCTCGTTATTACAGCGCAGAACCTGGTGGACGAGTTCCGCGACCGCGAGATCGTGGTGTCGTACGACTACCCGCTCCTGGCGAGCCTCCGCAAGCCCATCGTCATCTCATCAAGCGTCCTCGGTCTCTTCGTCCTCACCTGGGCCGTCGGCCTGATCGATACCCAGTTCGCGAACAAGAAATAGGCCATGAAATTTCAGGGCAGGTGAAGGGTATTAAAGGATGGATGGCAGATTTCATTTGGTGTACATGTAATACCACGTCTAAAGCGATAAGAGAAGCAAAAAGAAATGGCATTTTTGAGGTTTGTGTTTGTGTGTCTGCGAACTTGTCACTGAACATTGGGAACGGAATCACAAGGCTCGGCGGCCCAGCAGGAAGTGCCCGACGGAGCTGCGAGTTGGGTTACGCGAAGGGTCAGATCGACATGGTGTTCTCGCTTGGCATGCGTCTGGATGCATGATTGGCAATGCAACGCCCGCCTGCAGTGGTAGCTGATATTCAGCCGCGCTTAGCCCCCGTTCGAGCAGGTCGAGCTTCATGAGTAGGTGACGTCCATTGGACGATGCATCTCCACCCCCATCGGGCCTATTTCATGTCTCCCCGAAGAACTAACAAGCTCCATCCGTCGCGAAGAGAGAAACCCTGTTACTGTGCGTTTGCTGCCTTGCGTCGTATGAAGTCTCCGTGGGACACCAAGGTGGAAAACGCCTACAGGTGGCTAGGCTGAGATATCCGGGTGTGGGCAGCCGTAAAAGCAGGGTTCTTATACTCGAAATAATCCATAGCCGCCCTACCCGGCCTGTTTGGAGACCCCGTTCGTCCTCTGCATTACCACCCGTCAGCGGTGGCTCCCCCGCAACCAGTCATTGCCGTGCTGCTGTGCAGATGTGTCTCGCTATGAAAACGCCAGGTTTTACCAGACGACCCGGGATAAGGGCCGCACTGCAGTACAGCCCCTGGCTCCAGTGCATGCAGTATGGCGTAGCCTTGCTGGCGTAAACCAGGGTGGCAGAACGATATGCTGAGATCTTTCCGCATCTCCGAGTCCTCCAAAGACGACTACCGCGAGGAGATTGTGCCCGCGAGGCCGTACCACCACCAGCATGGCAACAACCAGCACGGCAACCGCCAGCACGTCAACCGCCAGCACGGCAACCACCAGCAGGGCCACGGCCACCACCAGCGAAGCCACCACCAGCAAAGCCACCACCAGCAAAGCCGCCACCAGCAAGGCCACCACCAGCACGGCAACCACCACGTCTCGGCCTCGTCGCAACGTCACCACCAGCAAGGCCATCACCACGCCTCGGTCCCGTCGCAGAGCCACCATAGCAACAGGCACAGCAGCCCTCACGTGAGCAAGGCCAGCCATCACGCCGGCGTGCCCGTTCTGTACGAGACCACCAGGACCCGAATCGTAAGGATACTGTAGATATGATATCACACCACTACCTACCGTCTTCGTTTCGAAATGTTCCAAGATCTACGAGTTAAACGATTCCACACGTGTTTTTTGGAGACGACAAATTGTGTATTTCATAGCCTGTTGGAGGAGAAGCGTCTTTGTCTTTTAGGTCATGAGGCTCGCGGGCGAGAGATTCCATTTCTCATTTACTGTATCTATTTACGCATGTGTAAAGGAAACATCTGGTCACCTCCGATAACCTCATGCACGCACGTAGCTTAAACCCTTTTTCTCTGCATACCCGTCGTTTTCTGCTGGATGGGAGTGATGAACGTCGATAGCTCAACCCTACGGGTCCCCTGTTGGCGATCGCCCCACCATTGGACGTGGGGCATCGGACGAAGAGACAGGGACCACCCCGATGATGTCATTCCCGCTGTTTCGGCTTTTGACGCAAGCAGCGACTGCTCGGGATGCCGTCATAGGGCCCAATTGGGAAAAAAAGAAAGGTGTCACCCTGGCGCCGTCTGTCTTGGAGGGCTGGCCCGAAAATTAAAGGCCTAGAATGCTTTATTGTTTTTTTTTCTTCTTCTTGTGACTGCACCAGATACTTGGGGGTGACCCGATGCCGTCGTCATTGCATGCCGTGGCGTGGTGGGAGCTGGTGGCTGCCACCCTGCGAACTCAAAGATAGCCCTGTGCTGCTCCGGCTTGAGTGGTAGCAGACCCCATCTTTGTCCATCTTTCATCACTCACCCGCACCTGTGTACCTATGCCTACCACCTTGCCTTAGTATTAAAGAGTTTCATTCGCGATCTAGACCGTGTTCGTCATCTGTGAACCGCATAGCACCGCGATCCTGCAACAGCCCGAGGTCTGGACCTTCCCTGGTCTATCCAAGATCAGCAGACACCTTGTGGGCGGCTAGGGCTTCCCTCAACAGGTCAGGAAGGCTGCATCAACCCTGGGCATTGCCCGTGGATCGGGCCATTGCTACCGTTCTTGTACCGCCTGTCTCGTGGAATACCCCTGAGCCACTGGCTTGGATCACCACCACTGAAAGCGGGCGGACTTGATCTCACACTTGACAGCCATCGTTGCCATCCATTCTACACCCCTAGAGCGCACCAGTGATAACGCAAACATGTAGGTTAGGCTCGTATCTGCAACTCTCCACCGTCTTGCTCTCCTGGTCACTGAACGAGCAAATGTCAACCCGCAGGAATCGGAGCTTCTCCATCCG